TTCTAAGGAGATCATACATATTACGAGGTGGCAATACGCGCTGACGATTTAGTGGCATGACAAAGCAACACTGACCGTCAATATCTATGATACCTGTCTTATTCTGTAAATAAACATGGTATCGTGAGAAATATGTTTCGTGCGATACAAAAAATTGTTTTATTGTGACACAGGAATATAATATTGGCCGGTATTCATAGTAGTTTTTATTTTAAAATCATCTTAAATAAAATCTTAAGATGCTGTATGATTGGCTTATGACATCTTAAGACTATATTTAATGTTCTTAAAGATAAGAATCCTGATTATGAATATTGGTCATTGACTCACAATGTTGAAATCGTGTATGAAGCGGCCTTGTCGTCCACCGCGAAAATCAGGCACATCAATCTTCTCATAATGCTCATTTTCAAGATCAATCTCAAATCTCTCCTTGAAGAAATTATTAATATCATGATCTATGTGCTTTGCAATATCTAAAGCATCCTGCTCCATGGCTCTGGTGAGACTCTTGGTAAACAGATCAGAATCAGCCAAAAGTCCCTGATGAACTGCGTTACTGCCATAGGATGCTTTGTTTGAGCTGTCATACGGAATACTGTACCAACCAGTACTGAATCTACGCATCTGAGTTCTAGCATATTGCTTATAGACATATAGCCCACCAATCATACCAATAAGCAGTATCGACAACGCAAGAAGAAACAGCAAAAATGTTGTCGCTAAATGTATACGACGGATGCTTGTTCTAGATATGAAGCAACGGCTCTTGGGGATCTCATCTGTTTTTGAACATGCTGCTTCAAGATCAGCTTTTGTACCATCCTGTTAAAAAAGAATATCCATATTTAATCTGTTTTTAATTCAAGGATATCTTTTTATATTAATTCTATAAATGTTCTAATAAATTCTCAAATCAATTTTTTAATAAAATAGTAAATTATATGTGGAACTATTGTCTTTTGACACAATAGTTCCGTATATAATTTACTTAAAAACATTGAATTTGCATTAAATTTATAAAAATGTAAATAATTATTTATCAGCAAATACAGATGTATTTTTTTTATGTATTAATTTGTACTTATTACAGAGAAGAAAAAATTCAATATAAATAAATAATGTCATTAACAATGGATCACAACGTGACAAAGCGATTGGCACCTCTGAAGAAAATATCCGTGAAAGCTTCAAAGATATCATAAATAAACAATTACTTGAATAACATACAATTATGCCTCGAAATTCAATTTAACTTGTAAAAACTCGTGTAAAAAATACATAACAAAAATTTTAGAATTTTAATGATTAACTCCGTTTTTATACTACTTGACAAGATATATACATATATGATGGAAAACAATCAAGTGGTTTAAAATCAATAAAAGCTAAAGAGGGTTTCATTTCTTTTGCAATCCTTCCTTAGATACTTCATTTTCCTCATTTAATATGTCACATATATCATCTTTATTGAAGCACATACTGCATCTGTCATAATACGTAGCAGTATATATTGTTCATTAATTTACTTGGTCTGGACCTGGCTCTCTCGTTGGTGGACACACATGCATACAATCTCGCATGTGTATGTGTGATACATGTCAACACTATCGAACCCAAGCGCGCATTCGCTGCTGATAGCATAGAAACAAGTACAGATATACATGTACATACTTTGATACATAAATTGAATTTGTAGAATATGTACACATACGCATATATATAGATGTATATTCGACAAGAATTATTATCAAATATATGTAATGCATAGATATACATATATGTATGTGTCAAGGGTTGTGTTAAGTGGCTTTGCTGCGCACAACGCGACCCCCTAACGCGGTCAATTATATAAAAATAGCGATATTTTCCGATCACGACGGAGTCCTGAGGTGTCGAAGAAAATTAACGATCCAAGTGACGCGATCGGACATTGCGAGCGAGATGCGTACATATATACTAACCGTCGCGTTTTCCTCTACAAACAATGGCTGCTCCATTTTGTCGGACGCCTTCTTCTCGGTGATCGCTTTCGTGATTACCGTCATCTTTGCGGCTTTTCACACTACGGACACTGACAAGAGGATGCGATGCGAGTTCCGATTCGCGTCAACCGTGATAACTCGATGATAAAGTTCCTCGAAACCAAGGACGCGGAGCACGGAGTGGGGAATCCGATCCGGACGATCGAATGGACGTACACAACGCTGTGGTCGAGTCGAAGCTCGGAACGACTCGGAGCGACTGCGGAGTGCGGAGCAGCGCGGAGCAGTGCGGCGAATGCAGCGACTCTGCGGCGACTGCGCCAGTAGTGCTGGAAGATCGGAGGGATACGAATAAAATTCTAAGTGTTGTACGCATGCATAAGATACATCATCGACATGCTCGTGTGCCTTGCAATATGTTATCTAATTTAAAATAATTTTTGAAACCTATATATGAATTATAGTCTGTATTCGCACATTACTTTTAATGATAAATGCACATATTTATTATAATACATAGATATATTAAACAAGAAATGGAAAATTACTTTTTAAAAGTAACAAGTTACAGTTATACTCGTTACCGAATAAAAAAAGTAACGACGAGTTACTGTTACTAATAAGTTTTACCAAAAAAGCAACTTGTAACTGTAACTTCATTACAAGTAACGACCCTGCTTAAAATTTTCTATAGAAAACTCTATTAAGAAAATTCTATAGTTTTTAATGAGCGTTTTGAATCGGTAAAAATCCCAATCCGCAATAGTTTTCTATTATTATTATACTCATAGAATCTTATTGATAACTGTAGAGCTTCTATAGTCGCTCTCGTGCGCTACTATAGAAACTATTAAAAACTATAAATACCTATACAAACTCTATATGTTTCTATAGTTTTTTATAGACAATTTTAAGCAGGGGAGTTACTCCATTCCCTGATATTATGCTGTATTAATCAAATGTTTATAATATGTTATATATAATATATAATTATGTCATATTATTATAAATTGCTAAATTTCTTTGCTAAAAAGGATATAAAAATTATTTTTAGTTGTATATACAATTTAGTATATAGATAATAAAGTATAGAGTATTTATTTCATAAATAAAATAGAGTTCTACTAAATAAATAAATTAAAGTTATGGACACTTATATACAAAATTATTGATTATCTGTTTTCGTTTGATTAAATTTTAATTCAGTTTCAGGATCATCTGTCGTTAACAAATATAGTTAATTTCAATGGATTAATTGTCGATTGAAGTTAATTAGAGCTGGTTGAAGTAAAACCTTCAGTCTGCATCTCGAAACGCGGTGAAATTACAAAAATGGATAAACCACTAGGTGTTAACCAATAAAATTATAAACATTCTAATAAATTTGTAATTTTTACCTCGTTTCAACATTGTTAAAAATTTCTGTTGTGCACTTCCAAAAGTATTGAAAGTTTTTATCGGCCAATAAAAATGTGCTCTAAAAATTTAAACAGTTATATTGTAAAATCACAATATAACATTTTGTGATAAAGTATACGTAAATCTCTACTGTGCGTGCATGGTGCGGAAGCTTTGTAAATTCTCAAGTAAATTCTATTGTAAATTTACAAATATCCAATATTGTAATTTGTAAAATTATAAATATTAAAATTATAGCAAAACGTTACATGATTTACAAATTTACTACACATTTTTATTGTAAAGGTATCGTAAATTCACAAATATTTCTAACAGTGAAAAACAATAGGGCACCTATGCTTGAAAAAAATTAATTACGTATATACTTATTTTGTACACATTTTTTTTACAAGAAAAGCAAAATTATCGATTGTAAATTGTTCCATCGTTCCGTCTACAATTTGGCAACTCTGTTAGAATCTATAGTGTAGAATATAAAAATTTATTGCTTCTCACATACTTTCTGTTTTCACGCCTATCTTTGACGTAACGAATAACAATGAATTCGATTTGAAAATTGGAGAAATTATACCAATGGCTGCTTTTAGCAGAACAGTTTTACAACCGTTTTATGATTGTCTCCTGAGATAGGATCATTCTTGATTTAAAAGTATGATCCAATCAGTGCGAAGAATACTTCCGATAGTTGCAAAATAATAAACATTATGCTGAACGCAGCCATTAACTGTCAACATTCCTTCTACTTGATTTCCTTATTGAATATTGGTACAACAAAATTTATTTATAACGGAAAAATTGTGAGTTGTGCTTTTGTGAAAATGGAGTACGGTCATATAGAGAAAGTCCCAAGGTGAGTGTTTTGTCAACGAATTCGAATATTCTTCATATAATCTTACATTCTATTCCCATTAGAGTTCTATTCATTGTCTAATTAATCAAAGAATGCTTCAAAGCATTTGTATAAGCATTACATTAATCGTATCTTTAGTTTTATTTTCCTCTAGTTATAATAATAAAAATGTTTTTCTTCTTGGAACATAAAAGACGATATAGAAATATTTAAAAAAGATCTCAAAAGAATAAACAGTTATATTATATATACATATATATTAAATTCAATTATTTTAACTTTGTAAAGTTATGATAATAAGAATGTTTTGTTGTCTTTCTGAAATGTCAAAGTAGTGAAATTTTTCAATAAAAGAACTTAATTTGTTGAGTTTGTGTTGAAACAAATTAGTTTTATATTTTATCTAATTTATTTGTACTTATTTGTATAATTAAAAGAATGTGAAAACTGTGCTAAGCTATATTTTTCATTATTAATATATTTCTAATTGAAATCAACAAGTTTAGATAGATATTGATTTTAAACAATTAAGAATCATTTTTTCCGTATTTTTTTTAATTTACTTAATATATGGATATTTTATCAATATTTTCATTTATGTATTATATACATATAATAATATGATAATATGTAACAAATTTTTTATTATTTATTATATGAATTAATCTATTTTTAGGATATCTTAGTTAAGTTTCCAATAAAACTGTAAATTGTGTATTTTAAAGAAATAATTGCTGACAGTTTGGATGAATAAACAAAAAAAAGATCTTAAGAATAAAATAAAGTTTGAAAGTAAAATACTGGATAATACCAGTAATTATTCTAAAATAAAAATATTTCCTAATATCGAAAATTTTGATATTGAAGAAATTAAGAAGACGCAAGAAAATTCTTTAAAAAATCCGAATATCTCAAAAAATGTACATAATCGTAGTGTTATTACATATCTGAGAACAATATCACTTTAAATAAAACTATTCATATAGTCAAATTTGATAACAAGATTGCTTGCGAAATTATTCAAAATGAACAAACAAATGAAACTGTGGAAATTTTTGCAAAGAAGATTAAGATAACAACTGATAAATATGACAAAATTAACTGTATGTCAAAAGATATATTCTATTCTACCAATTTTGATTTAGTTTCCCTTGTAAAAAAGTACTACTGAGCACTAGGAGTACTTTTCTACAAGGGTGATTTATTAGAAGCTACTATCTCACAAGATAATAATTCGTTTCTTTCTTGTATTAATAATGAAGCATATATTGCATACAGATCAGAATAAAGTCCAAAAAAGTATATCGAAAAATCAAATACAAACCAGTAACGATCAATCAATAGAAAAATCGGACGATAGTTTGGATGAAGTTTCGAGTAAGCGACGGAAATTAATAAATGAAAGTGTACACAGTATCAGTGTTAGAAACGTAAATGACGATATAGTAACGTTTCAAAGAAATACATTAATAATGGAACAGCAAAATTATGAGATAAATGAATCAGATCAGAACGAATCATTGAATACAAATTCAAGAGGGCATACAGCAGGATCAGAAACTTCTATTAATTACCAATCTAATCCATATAGGCATGAAGGTATTTTTATACTTTTTCAAATATTTGCATTATTTAATTGTTTCGTAAAATGTAATCTGAATTTTGAATAGTTGACTGGAATGAATTGGAAGCTATTAACGAAGATGAATTGGAGGAACAAGAGAGAGGTGAAGATGAGAACAAATTCGAAATGCTTGATTGCCCAAAAATAAAAAAAATATCTCCTAATTGGCATATTGTACCGGAAATGATAAATCGCCAAATAGGTAGTAATCCATTATTCCAAAGACGGTTTTATGGTTCCTTATATGCAGTAGAGCGGATGAATCTTATGTATAAACTTCATGAAGAAGACTTGGTAAATTGTTCATCTTATAAATGTTATACATTGAGCTACGCTATTTATACATGATTTATACATTGCATTGAAATCATCGCTAAGCTATTCTTGCATTATTATTTATTGGTATATACATTTTCATGTTTGATTATTATTTATAGGATTGTATAATAAATGGCTTAGATTTTAATGAAAATGGAAATTTATTAGCGAATGGCGTTTCTAATACAATTTCTATTTGGGATTGGACTGTAGGGAAAAGGCTCTACTGTATTACAATCAATAGCATCTCTGTAATATGTGTATGTATTTATAATTATAATTAAAGCATTTTGCGATTAGAATATTTTATAATAGTTATTTTGATGTAATTATATACACTACTCAACAAAATTAAAGGATCCCTTACTGTTCCACCCTGCACAAATAGGCAAATTTCGAGATAGAATAACTTCATCAAAAATCATCGTGTATCGTTTTAAAAAAAGCATTTTAAAGCTTGAAATCTCTACTTTTCAGACCGGTACTTTAAAAAACGGTCTTACTGATATTTTGTGAAGTTACACAAACATAAATAAAAGTGCGTCAAACCTAAAAATTTTTTACGAAGTTTGAGAAGTTCCACCGCACGAATTAAAAATTGTGCACAAATGCGGTTTACAGCTTTCGAAAGAATGAATCTTTACCTTTAATTTATTTTTTTATCAACCTCTGTACGATTCTTTTTTCACCGAGTTATTCAACGTTTAAGTAAAAATGACCTTTTTGCTAAATAACTCGGTGAAAAAAATCGTACAGAGTTCAACAAAAAAGCAAATTAAAGGTAAATATTCACTCTTTCGAAAGCTATAAACCGCATTTGTGAAAATTTTTACTTGGCTCCGTGGAACTTCACGTAAAAAATTTTGAGATCTGATGCATCTTCATTTATGTTTGTGTAACTTTATGAAATATCAGTAATACGGTTTTTTAAAGTACAGGTCTGAAAAGTACAGATTACAAGCTTTAAAATGCTTTTTTAAAAACCTCGATATGATGATTTTTGATAAAGTTATTCTATCTCGAAATTTTCCTATTTTAGCAGGGTGGAACAAGTGATCCTTTAATTTTGTTGGGTAGTACATTAATAGAAAATGTTTATTAATTTTTTTCTAGAATACATTTCAAAACGTCTTCGAGAAAAATTTTACTCGAAGTATATAGTATACGTAACATATACATATAGGGGAAAATGTCCTAAATCGGACCGTGTTCCAAGTCGGATCTTTTTAATTTAAATAAATACGGTTAATCAGATTTGCGTGCTATTTATAATGTAAAGTCCTTATTAAGACACCGAACATGTGACAGCAGTTTGGCAGTACTTTGTCATAACGTTCGATCATAGAATAAACATAAATATATATTTCGGTTATCATGCAAAAAATAAAAAAAAATTCTTGTAAATTATTATTTAAAAGATGTTAAAAATTTGAACGGTAATTGATTTAAGATAATTAAAGAGTGTATAGAATTAAAAAATATCAAGAGTTTTGTAATTACTTTTGTAAAATTTGTTTCAATAATAGTTCAATAAAAGAACCTGTGTCCAAATCGGACCTTCTTTTAGGATATCCAAATCGGACCTATACAAAAAACACTAAAAAGACAAGTAAGCCAGCTAATTCATCGAAGAAAAGTTCGCCACAACCCGGTTGTAGTACTGGTGATTGACCGACCAGATCTGGTCTAAGGAACACTAAATCAATAAAATATCCTGTGTCATCAGACTCAGATTGATAGAATTTTTTATTGATTTTAATTCTAATAATCTAATTTAATTATACTCAATAGTAACAAAAGTTAATTAAAATATTTTTTAAAATTCTATCTAAAAGTCCATAAAAATAGAATAGTCCATAAGAATGGAAAATGCATTTTTACATTTTCCATTATAGTTCAACACAGGTATAAGAGATACGTCAAAATGGTCTAAAGCAAAAATGAAGAAAATTAAATGATCTTTCGAATGACACCATTGGTTTTATGATCGGACTTTATTTACGCCTTATACACAGAGAACAAAAACTGCAAATAAGTCCGATTTAGATCACTCTCCTCTATACTGTAGTAAATAATCTTGCTCGGAAAAGACATTTTGAAATAATGCCTTAATCAGTTTTCCTAATTTAATTGTATGAGTTTAGATGAAGTGGTTGCCGTTAAAATATTTTATAATTATGTCTGGTGAAGACGGTTGGATACGTTTGTTAGGTACTGAATATACCATGTCGCACAAATTGGCAAAGCATCATGGAAGATCGTATAAATTGGCTGTGCATCCTCAAACACCTCATGTAATCATTTCTGCTGGAAGTGATTCAAGAGTGTTATCCATAGATATTCGGGAGAGCGAACCAAACGAGTGAGTATTAATTGCGATTAAAAAATTCAAATATATAGGATGTTCGGAATTTAAATGTCAAAACTTCGAGAGCGTGTAAGGGATCGATAAACTGAGAAAAAAAAGTCCTGTAGATATATGTTCGTTTTTATTTTGTTTTGAAAAGAATCGCAAAAAAAGATAAAACATAGTCTCTTTTATTTTTGTAGATTTTTATTATTAATTTTCACATTGTATTTATTCTTGTTTAATTCGGTACATATTGTTCAAAACGTTGGCTTCTTGCACTTGCTACAATGAAAGCATTGCATCTAGTACAGACAACTCGTGTTGTTGCAGCTGAATACTGATCTGGGTACCTATCATGGAACAAAGTCGAAATGGATTCCGATCGGAATTATTCCGTTTTCTCTAAAAACCACAATAGAATCTATAGGGAATATTTGAACAATTCCGATCGGAATCCACTCCGATTTTGTTCAATGATAGGTACCCTGGTGATATTATATTTGTTGCAGCCTCGATTAGATTTCTCACTTGTTCTTTGAATTGATTGACAATGAATAAACTTCCTGCTTCAGGACCCCTCATACAAAAATTAAATCCAGTGGTGTCAAATCAAGTAATCGGGATTGTCAAGATATTATTCCTCCATGACTCGTTTTATACCGAGCACTTTTGATATGCGTATTAACTAATTTTCTATTAAATAATCTTAATTTCAGCAATGTATTTAAAGAATAATGTATTAATTAAATTAGTAAAATATGCATCAAAATAATTAATTAAATACACATATCATGTATATGTTTATATATAACGCTGAAATTATGATAATTCAATAGAAAGTTACTGGTTAGTACTCGTATCAATTGCATGTAAACTAGGCTCATGTCTAAGAACAAAGCAATTTATACATTTTATCTGTATTGCGATTTTCTCCAAAATGAAGCAAAAACAAGCATATCTCTATAGGATTTTTTTTCTTAGTTTGATCCCTCTTTTCCGAAGTTTTAACATTTAAATTCCAGATAGCTTGTATAATGATATATATGTTTTTATATGCTGTTTACGGTTTACGGCATATCTACAGATTGTATTAATTTTTTAAATCAAGAGTTCAATTGTGATTCATACTCGAGATTATATTGGATTTCAATAACTGCACTGAATAACCGATCAAGTTACAAGTAGGCTCAATGAATACATATTATATATATATATGTATATTATATATATACATATATGTGTGTATAACAGGCTTCACTTTCACTATGATAAAAATGTTTATTTTTTCTTTTTAATTAATATACCATACTCTTTTATAACATATCCAGCTTTATAATATATGTAATTATTTAATGTATCCATAGGTTACTTGTAGTAGAGGAAAATTCGTCAAAGGTATTATTATATAGTGTACATTCTAATCCTTCGAATAGTAATGAATTTTGCGTTGCTGGTAAATCCTACTATACAATGGTATATGATCGGCGAAAAGTTTCGAAGCCGCTTTATAAACTATGGCCCAATAATGTGGTACGTTGTTTTGTGTTAAGTCTATATTACTAAAAAAATTTACCATTATTCAAAGCAATGGAATTATAATTTTTATACATGCATTTAATTATATATATAATTTCAATGTTTTAGGAAAACAACAAAAATGTATTCGTAATGTCTGCTATGTATAATTATAACGGAACAGAAATTCTTGCTTCGTATAATAACAAATACCTATTCCTATTTAATAAATTAATGTCGGATCGTGGAGATTACGGCCATATGTATCAGAATTATACTGACAATAAATCACTATGTAGGTTATACATAAAATATAGATACATTATTTTTGCGAGACTCTAGATCTTTTATTAATTCTTTAATCTTTTTTATGCGCGCGTTTGAATACAATATATAGTAAGTATTAATATGCAAAAAACAGGAGTCGATGATACTGTTTAACTTTCGTTTAATGTACGTGCGTGCGTGCGTTGCTAAGAGATTTCTTTTTAAAAATCTTTCTACAGAGAATCTATTTTGGAATTTTCTAGTATAGTTGAAAAAAGCGAAGCTTTAAAAAATTCTGATTTATTAATATTTAAATTACTTGCCTTCTGTTGGTTAATTACAGTACTAGGAAACAACTTTTTCGGACCTAAAAGCGAATATATTGTATCTGGATCCGCTAATAAAATATGTATTTGGGACAAAAATTCGGAATCTATTGTACAGCATATGGTAGGAGATAAAGAATCTGTAAGTCATAAACTTAATGTAAATAAATTTTCATAAATTTGATGTAAATAAATTTCTTTTATTTGCAGTATAAAGGAAAAAATAACGATACTTCTCAAAATTTAATTTATAGGTAAATTACTTAGAGGGTCATCCGCATATTCCTATTCTTGCGACAAGCGGATGTGATCATAACATTAAGCTATGGATGCCTTCGAAAGGAAAACTTTCAATGTTAGAGTCATTCGGAAATGTACGTATATGTAAAAATTATTTCTTTATAATCTCTTATCTTACTTGTTTTATCGTGTCATTTAAGAGCAATTTTGGTATCACATTCTATAAAAAGAAATACGGTGAAATGCAGTAGACTAATTGCATCTATAAACATATGTGTGGTTTGTCGATATATATGCACATCGATAAATATACAGTGGGAAGGGAAGGAAGAGAGTGGTGGGAGGAAGAGAAAGAAAGCGAGAGAATTTTTGATTATAATATATACCCTTAACATTTTTGTCGATTATACTTAATTGGCTATACATCACACACTATTGCGTTTCTTCTAGCATTTTGATACGCACTCGAGGATGCCATTATTACGTAATTATGAACTTGAAAATTCAAATCGAGACGAAGATAACAGCATCGACGACGACGATGATGATGATATCTTCGATGATGACTCCGATGATGGCTTCTCGACGGATAACTCATCTATCGAGGATAATCAATCCGAAAGCGGCGATGTTGAAAGAATACACTGTCCACCATCTTAAAATTGTTGCTTTTCGCATTAACGCGATTTGATATTGTAATGAGAGTTACATTGAGTTACATGAATAACGCGTATGAAGCATCTTTTCATACTAAGAAAAAAAACTACAAATATGAATAAAGAGCGATAATTAATGCACAATTAAAATTATAACCACAATTAATTGATTGGAGATTAATATAAATCATTTAATAATAGATATATTATATTCGCGCATCAGTATCTATTAATGTTTAATATCGTGAGCTGTATATAAATTTATCTCACTTTTTGATACATTAATCGTTTGACAATTGCAATAAATTTTACTGGATAACTTTTCACTTAATGAAATGTATAGAATGGACACAGTATTGCTACAAAACGTATTGAAAACGCTTTGCATTCTAATTATGGTCGATCTCTTATATCGGACTAACATATCTTAAATTATACATAAGTTGGTTTATTATATTGTCATTTTTTAAGTGAATAAATAAAAATAATGTTTTAATAGGATATGTGTATTTGATATTAAAAGTTACGACTACACTTGATTGTATTTGTTAACACTCTGTGTTCGATTAAAAAATTATTAACTTTTCGTTATCTAAAGCCTGTTGGTTTGTGTAATTTAAACCGTGTTCTTTAAATATTTTTATAGAATAAGTTACTAGCGTTACTAGAGTTATGTTATGTTCTAAGCAGAAGTTTGCAAGCATGAAACAAAAGGTAATTAACTTTTGTTAGATAGACATGGTGAGCTCATCATCCCGATTTCTGTAGACGCATTATTAATTAAGAATACTGTTTGTATTGCATGTTGATTGCTTATAATGTAAGAAGGTATTGTAATAATCACGACTCTAACGTATGATATCTGAAATTTGTATATTCGAAATATATTACTGTTTTCACCGAATTGCCACTGTCGCAACTTTTATATTTTAACAAAGCCAAATGCTCAAATTCTAGCAGGCCCAACATCGTGTGATTTCACGTCTAACAACAATATCATTATTGCAGCTATTATTTAGTTTTATAGTGCACTCTGTTGAATCGAAACGTAGCTTGATCAATGACAAAAAAGTTTGTAAAATATATAAATTACGTTTATTATATACATATATTAATATTTTTAAATATATCTCACCAGTGTCAGAATCGACGAAACGATCAAGCGCATGCGCATGAGATCACAGAGCCTGAAAAAGGCTACTCCAGTATGCTCCAGTACTTCGGAGTACTCCATAACACTATATGTAGTCGGTATGACAGATTTCCTAACCTCAAGTAGTCGTCAACTTTAACGCTAAATATCGGTTCAGAGCGACGCTTATTTCTACCAGATTTTTCGTTTCATGCAAAAACGCGTTGAACGTATCGAACAAATCTAATTTTATTGATTTTTGAGATGCATTAGCTCAATTGTATAATTACCCTTTTTCTATCATATTTGTTCATTTCGTTGAATAAATGTTATTTTTTTAAATTTTTTATCTAATGTAGTTAAACTGAATAATTATCCAAATTATGATGGATTACTTAAAAAAGCCAGTATTTGTGGTAGGAGATATCAACGAAGATATCAATCTGTCATTGCCACCCTCTTCCGGAGAAGAGTACATCAAACGAGTGGTGTAAGTTGGTGTTTTTCTCTCAACTGCTTTTTCTTTTCATTTTCTTAAATTTTCCAACTTAGAGCAGCTGCACATTCTTCTTCTTTCGTCCTCTTATTGGATTTATGACCCACTCCAGTGAATCAAATTACCATGATCTAAATGGATTTTTTTATTTAAACCATGGATGGCTATGTCTCCTTGAGGACACATAAGACTCCACTTCTTTTAGAAAATTATTTGTAATATAACTCTTGATCCAGTCAATAGGCAAGACTCAATTCCATGACTGAGCACACTTAATCCTTTAGCTGTATATTTTGTTCTGTTTTATTACAGAATTGAAGCCAGACAATGTGCAGATGTAGTAGTGGCCAATTTAGATCCATCATGTGTAAAAAAACCTACAAAAGCTTATGTAGAGACTGTAAGTTTATTTCTGTAAACCATGTATAAATCTTGTAACTATAGAATAAATATGACTGTAAAAGTTAGCAGGATGTGTTCAAGCACCAGCAAGTCTCAAGCCAACTGTGGAATGGCAACAATATCAGGTTGCAGATTTTTCTAAACTAAGATTGTATGTCAGCCAATTGAAAGATGAGATACTAATAGGCAAACGCAAGTGGAGGCCACCTGACATTCATTTTTTGGTATAAAAGTTGTAAAATACTTATCTAAAACTTAAAAAAAATTATGAATTAAGCTAGTGGCGACATACAATACTTGTTTTCTTACTGGATTAGAATCTTACTGTATTGACAGCGATGCTGACAGAGTCAGTATTGCAGCCAATATAGTGGCAACATTCTAATTCAGCTAGCAATCTAGTAAGAAAACAAACATTATATATCATCACCTTTATATTAATTTTTCTTTGTTACAGCCAGACATAAACAGTCAAAATGCTTGGATCAGCTTCTGTTTAGGTAGCAAAGAAAAAATTGAGCCTACACTGAATACTCTGTTTTGTTTTAGTCAATCTAACACAGAACAGGTACTCGAATATCTGGTGCAATTTGTGGAGACTGAAAGGAAAGTTGAATACAAAATAGGCCAGTGGATCTATGCATTACTGGTGATTTTGGAGCAACCACTACAGCCTGATACTTGTTCCTGTCTACGTTCATTGGCTCGAGCATGTTCCATCATTCGTGTTGATACTGTAATATTCATTATTTGATCAAGCTAATTCAGTAACATGACACATCGAAATTAAATCAACCAATATTGTTCTATACTTCAGAAAATGAGAAGATAAAAGATCTGGAGAGCTTTGTTTATTTCACTTATATTAACAAGTTTAACTCGATTGCTTTTCGATTCATGTAATATTCATTTCTCACAAAAAGAGCATATCATATAAAAATTTTAAGATTGAATAACATGTGTCTTCGTGTGACAAGTGAAAGATATGCTTTTTAAACAAATAAAAAATTCAAATATTTATTTCTTAATGTTAATTATGTATCGTTTATCTGATATAAAAAACTTTTATAATTTATTATAAAAATATAAGATTTATATAGTTACATTTGATTCTAAAGACGTAGAGAAAGTTCTATTCAATATTTCTGTTTTAGAATAGCAAATGATAAAAAAAAAAAACAGAACATATTGGTTCTTTAGGTTCTAAAGCTTCAATTTGTAAATTTTACAAAGAAAAGTTCAGTTAGAATTTATTGTTAGCAACTGATTTATTGCTAAAATATCATATAGAGGAAAGAAGAAAGGACAAAAAGGAAATGCTAAATTTCTATTAACAAAACATTTTTATTGCATATAACTTCCTGTTTTCTCTACTTACGTAGTTGCTATGTTATTCCCGATATTAGAAAAAGGTTCAGGCGATAATAAAAATTCGCGTTTGTCGGGTTACAAAAGATTGAGAAAATAAGAGACTGAACTTTTCTTCTATGCCTAAACTGGTCTTGTTAATATCTACAAAAGTTCACGTCAGAATTTACTAACGTTGTCTTCGTAATCTCGCTATTTCTTTTTGTCTTTTAGAGAGAATTGGACGCGCAGGAATTGGGAGCGTTGAACTTGTTCATCTGTCTAGTAGCGAGATACTTTCGTCAATTAGACTTGGCAGATCCTTGATAATTTCCTATTGTGCATACAGTACAATTATTTATGATGCGACATGATATATGTCTGTATACATACAGCGATTTTTAATAAATTCCACATAAGATTATCTCCTTTGATTCCAAACGTAGTAAATAGTACATTAAGTTTTAAGTTTGCTTAGTTATTATAATCGCGTTTTAAATTACACAGTACCAATTATTAAAGGGCTCGATATATAAGGCAATGCTTCAATTAAATAAACTCGTATTACAATAATCAATTGGTAAGCGAAAATTGGATAATCTTGAGTAATCCTTAAGCTACGTTCTCTTGGTCCTGGAGTAACGCAGTGGCTAGTCTCTCTAGATCATCATAACTAAGATTATTCACTTTATTTTTCAAGTCCTTTATCAGTTCGTTGACTATGGACTCAGTCTCGGATACCGTATAATAATGCCTGAGCACTCGTGACACCTCTTCTCTCAAAAGATGGATGCCGGCTTTCTGTTGGGGCAAAGATCTCGCTTCGCTGGAGCCTTCCTCTGCCTTCTTGATCACCAAAAGATTTAACTTACTGCCATCTTTGATTCCCGGATAAAAACTTAGTGGGTTTTCATCTGAAGATATTAAACAAAATATTTGTAACAAAAAATTGTTGTGATATACAATGCTATAGATGAGGGATGTCCTCCATTTGGTGACACAAATTAATATGAATATTATTCTATCTTTTTTAATATTTTAAGAGCAACAAATAAATATTTATATCGATTTGTGCTACCAAGTAAAAAACTCTTGAGATCGAATGTTTTTACCTGCTAAAGTCTTGCCAGTGAGTAATAATCTTTGCTGTGGTACATCGATGCCCAAGAGATCACTCACTTTTTGCTTCAATTCCAACACTGTCTCTGATGGTAATATCTAAAAATCATAGATATATCATAACTTGAAAGTAATGTCTATGAGAATATTTTCATAAGAAATGTTTGGATAAAAAAAAAAAAAAACGGTTGACGTCATAAAGAGGTTCATTTGAAAGGCAAACTATAACACCTTAATTTCGCTTTAGTGGACATTTGAGCGCATGAATTCATTTAAGATAATGATAATTGTTAGCTTAATTTCGTGATTACGAGTATTAATCTGCGATGAAATTCAGATCACGAGAGGAAGTCGTGGATGCTTCGCGAGGAAACGAGGGAGCGGCGCGACAACCATGCCGTACTCACGTCAACGACGCACTCTTTCCCCTGCAGCTTCTTCACGATCACTTTCATGATGAGCGGCAGACGAGGATCGCGGAGACGAATTGTTTAAACGTAGGACGCGCAAACGCGTGTGGGGCACGCAGCCAGGCAGAATCAGGTTTCTCGAAATAGTGGTATTTCTGACTGGATCGACAAAAGCTGGTGCATCTTATGCGCCGGAGAGGTTATATTTTGCGTTCGCACGATTCACGACACAGCGTCATCAGCGTCATCGACTGTTCACTCTTCTTCTCTTCCTTTTTCCCTCAGGAATAGCGACACACGGAGATATCGATACTGATCTGTCTGTCCGAGAGGATATCGATAGTAACAGCGATCCCTCGTAACAATTCCTCCAATCGTCAGACGTCAGAGTACTTCACTGGTATTTGGTAGAGGCTTAGAAAACAGAGATGCGACATTGCGTCGGTTGGGTTAGGTAACCATCGCCATTTTAATTCAATATAAGTGCTCTTGACCAATAAGCTGATGACAGTTGATGCAAAGGTAGAAAGATTAGATTAGGTTAGGTTAAGTCCGATATTAAGGGCTGCGCACAATGGAGGAACAGATATTAGATATTAAAATATTAACCTATCAGATACCAGTTACACCGGACTACACAATTCTGATAGGTTAATATTTTAATATCTAATATCTGTTTCTCCATTGTGCGCAGACCCTAAATATTCACACAAATAATACTTACACCATAATAATAGTTGTTCATTGCACTTCGGCACTGTATTGTCTAAATTTTTCTCTATATATATATATATATATGTACATACGTTATAAAACTATATCTATTAGATGCAATAGTGAATTAAAATAGCTCTCTGATCACGTGATTTAGACAGCCAATCAAGCCATACCCTTCAATGACGCATCTCTGTTTTCTAGGTCTCTAGTATTTGGTAATACTACTGACATAGTACTCCGATATACTCCGACTCCAAAGTTTTGTCCGTTTTGTCATTCTCATGCGCACGAATTGGCCTTTCCGAAGGCTAAATTGTTCCATCCGATTTCACGAATTTGGGGATTCTTGAAGTCGTCTATATTTTACCGATTATTTTTCAAATAAGTCTTTTTCTAATTACTTATAGGTCCAGCGCACAATGGAGGAAATATTAGGAACAGGAATAGATATTATGATTTCAACCTATTAGAAACCGTGTATTCCGATATAACTGATATCTGATAGGGCGCATTCAGCGGACTCAACAGTTGAGTAAGCGCTCGCTATTATTGGTGTATTCTTCCAGATCTGAAATTCTGATTGGATGATCTAAAAGAATACACCAATAACAGTGAGCGCTCACTCAACTGTTGAGTCCACTGATCGCGCCCATAGGTTAAAATCTTAATTTGTAAAAAAAATCAATAAAAAGTTGGAATATTACAGTTTTATTATTGGCTTCTGGGATAGGCGGGAGTTGTAAATAGGTAACATGTTATAGGTATGATGGAAAGGATATATATGCGTGTCAATTGTTTAAGTCGGAACTTCGATAATTCATCCAAATTACAGTCTTATATCAAAACAAAAAGAAAAGTTAGATTAAATTTACGCAAATATAGATAACAGTACAGGTAACTTTGGAACAGCATATGTATACTTTTGTTAAATTCAGTTGTGATATCCATTCATGAGTCATTAAAAAAATTTTTAATTTTAACTTTCTTTAGAGACTCACAAATGGATACCACGATTGGATTTAACAAAAGTGCTGTGTTAAGTTACCTGCACTGTCTCAAATCATCATTTACGATCTTATGAGTGCGGATGTATGTACGGTGCGCGAAAGAGAGAGAGAGAGAGAGAGAGAAAGCGTAATTTAACTGATAAAAAGTTATTTGCTTTCTCTTTAATTACATCCGGAATAGATGAGCAACATTTGAAATTTTAAATTGTATACAACTTGACGAGTTTTCCACAGAGAACTTAACAATTTTAGCTGGATTTTTTGTAATTTTGCTTAAAGTCACACGCATGACTTATTGATACCTGAACTGATTATCGAGATCCCATTCGTCCAATGTAAACCTCGTAGAAGGAAAAGATACACGATTTACGTCAATTTCAATTTTCGCCATATCGTGATGTGATGAATCAGTCGAAAAATAGTTCACCAGTTAAATGAGAAATATTTTAAGTTTCATTGAAAAATCCTTCACGAAGACTTTCTAATGTATTTGCAAGGAAACGTTTCCCCTAGTTGCTATCAAACTCCATCTAATAATTATTATCAAACTTCATCCACAATAAATTATAATGTAAAATCTATACATAATTGTTTTAACATAATAATTGCAAATATGACAGTAAAGTTTATTTTATGTAAAATTATTGGAAAAATATTTCTTTTATTTATTACATTTTAATAAATATCATTATATTTAATAAATATCATTATTAAGAATTTCACCGTCCAAATCCACCGTCAGAAAGAGATATTAACTTTCTGTTGAATTATTTTACCATAACCACCTCGTCCACTATCAAAATCTGATCGATATTCATCTCTCACCTAAAATATGAAGTAATATTACATATCACATCTATTGAGACATTAAAATCTGATGAGATATTAAAAACAATTACTTGTCCTCCAGTTTTGCCACGACCATATTGTCTGCCTTCAATAAAGCCAGCATCCCAATCAGTTCTAATAATCCTGTCGTCTAAACGAGTACCATTTAAGTATCTCATACAACTCTCGGCATCAGATCTTTGATAATATTCGACAAAGCAATAGCCACATGGTGTCTTCTTATATTTATCGAGACCCATAATGACACGCCTAATGTCACCACATTTGGAAAACAATTCATATATCTGTTCTTCAGTAGTATAAAAAGATAGGTTACCAACATATAAAGTACAGGAATTCCTTAAAAGTCTGTCTTGCTCAGCCCTTGTACCCTATATAATGATGAAGAAGACTAAATCAGTTATTAAGTATAAAAAAAAAATGTATTTATCATATAAATATACAGCTAAATGCAATTATACCAATTATTTCTAATTAAGCACTTTTCAAATGTTGATATTATGAAAATTAAACTAAAAATTACAAACAATTATGTAGATGTAAAAAACAGAAATAGAAATACATATAAGAAACATAAATAAATTAAAATTATTCACTAAATAATTTGAGGTTAATTTAAAAAAAATACCTTAAAATGTTGATCACGATAGGAGCTTAATTCAACTGATGGCGAGCTAGTTGTATTTAATTTGACCGACATTTTTCATTGTTAATCAATGATACGATTTTCAACCCGCTTGCAGCAGTGATGCGATTTCCAAAATTCCAACCCGCTTGCAGCACTCGATGGTACCGCCATTACCGCCAAACGCCATCGGTCGGCGGTCTGGCGCAACCGGTAGCCAAATAAGCAAAGCTTGGCCGCGGTCCGATTCATGATTACAGCGCCATCAGCATGCTCACGGTCGGTCCGTTTCATTTCTGAACGAAGCAACGTCTATGGATTCCGCCCCATGTATTTACTAAAAGTTGCTTATGCAATTGTGTTTTTTATCTAATACAATATTTCACTTATTTTTATCCTAATAAATTATATCACTTTTTAATTATAATTTTTTTAAACATCGTTATACTTAATTTATGAACATAGCACGGAATAGAATAAAATATAATTCGTTATCCGGTGAATATATTCTACGTAATTCAAGTTTTGTGCAGGTAGAGGAGCTAGTATAGTTCAAAGTACCATTTAAAACGCTGGCACGTCCATCTGTTGAAAATTACTGTTAATTACCTTAACCTAATTTGGCGACCCGGTTATTTAGCTTATAAATTAGAATGCGGTGATACACATATCCATATGTTTGAAAATACACTGAGAAATGTGTATTTTTCGGTTGAAGATTGTATATCTTGTATCTAATTAAAATCTCGGGTCCCTCGATAATACTTTATTCCGAATTTCTTCGAATGTTCTGAAAATTTAATCTTCAAAATTGTGGTCTGAAAAAATAAATATGTCAAAATGTTTAATTGAAAAGAATAAGATACTTGGCCAGCGAAGAGGTATATAAATTAACCTCAAATTATTTGTATAAATTATTTTTTCATGATTTTTCGTTCTTATAATATTTAAATTTTTATCACTATTTACAGTCCGCAAAAATTGTACAATGGGGGAGATAAATGTGTCTTTTCAAATTGACACCGACAATCGCGAGAATTTCTCATCTGCCATTTCGTTCCATACTTTTAAGAAGCAAAGGGATGCCTTTTATGATATACTTCGAATTTGGGAGGAAAATCATTTGGTGCCAGGATGGGTGTTTCAAATTGCTCTGGGTGGCAAGATAAGAAGCATGTTGGCGATGCACAATGACTGTACTAATTATTATCACATTGCTAGATTATTTAAATCACAATTATTAATATCATGTATACAGAATAGACATCAGGTAAGCTGAAAATCATTTTACTATTAATATGCTTTATTATAAGAGAAGAATATCATTATAAAAAAAGATTATTCTCTACAGCAAAGCAATTATATTATTATCATTTGTAGGATGATGCAGTGGATGATGAGAGCTTGAATTTCTTGAAAGCTTTAAAGCATGTTAATCCTGAAAAATTGACGCAGCTCAGCAAAAGATTTGTGACTCCCTTACCATCGCAGAGTCAGAGTATTGGTCCTTCGTTTCCTGGCATGCAGGAATTTTTTAAAGATTTTATATTGCATGCATTTAATCCAATATTTTATACACATTTGGAGAATTGTTTTGTACATGAAATAATGGAATTGAATAATACTCAGTTTGCTAATAGTGAAATAGAAGACTCAGGTACAGTTTTTATTATTTTAATATTTGATGATTGTTTACATTCCATTTTAAAATTTTAGGAAAACTACTTTTTTCTGGTTTTTTATTTTATAGAAACAATGGTTGACGATCAAACGCAACAGAATTTTATTACTTGCTTAGCCAGCTTGAGACTTCTTGCGAAAGTATTAGGCCTTTTAGTATCATTGCCATATAGATCTGAATCAAATACTACTAAAGAGATTATAATGACACAAATAGAGATAAGAAGTAAAGTACGTAATGTAAAAATTCAAATGTTAAAAGCAATTTTTCAAATTTTTTTCGAATAATCTTTTCAATTGTTTTATTATAGATATTACCATCATTAAATTTACAAGCCTGTCTTCAGAACGCCATAATCGAGGGCAAATTGTCATTGACAATACCTTGGATAGTTAAATATCTAGCCATGATGGATGTTGTCTCACTACGGCTGCCGTATTATAAACAGATCTTAGAATTGCTGTATTATATTTATCATGCTATAAATCAGGCTGATCTTTCTG